TTTACACTGGTATGTAACAAAACTTCCAACCCATCGACCTATTTTGCTCGTATTTAAATGTGTAATTTTGTTTTTGCAGAAAAACGAATTGCCTTATGAATCTGCTGATGGTAACAGGATAGCTACAGTTTTATTCTATGTATGTATTATAAATTATGTCTACAAGTCGTTTTTTTGCCGAAAGCTTTAACATAATTTGTATTTGTTGAGATGTCCGACGTGGCGCAAGGGGGCGCCACAGTGTTCACGGAGCTTGGAGTGAGTGTGTTCCCTGTGAAAAGCTCGGCGCTGGTCTGGATGAATCTGCACCCTTCGGGCGAGGGCGACTTGTCGACGCGGCACGCCGCCTGCCCCGTGCTGCGCGGCTCCAAATGGGGTGAGCACTACAACAGACATACAAACACACATACAAACATGCAAACGTAGCATTTATGAGGTACGATGCGCGGTTCTGAACTGGCCAGTTGGCCAGTAGAGCTTAATAAATAAGTTAGTATTAAACTATCATACGTGAATAACCAGCGTCAATGAAACCATACAATCTATGACTGGCTTGTGGTACTGCTCCATTGTATTACCAAAGTGGAAGCCAGACATTCAGGTCTGACAGTTTACTTTATGTTACAGTTGCAAGCAAAAGTTTTACCTGTACCGCTCTTTCTGATAAGAGTAATATTCCTTGTAAACTTAATGGTTTACTTATTGAATTTGAAAATAACCTTTTGACATATTTGTACATTGTATTTCATTGTTTTTACAGTATCAAATAAATGGATCCACCAACTCGGCCAAGAGTTGCTCGCGCCGTGCGATCTGGAATACCAACAAGAACATGTTATGAGGAAAATTATAAAAGCCAAGCCCAGAGCAACGGAATAGTGCAAAGAGTTTTCGTTATAAACGTTGTTACATTAAAATGTTTTATTTAATTTATTTAAACAGTTTTATTTATTTTACCGAAATTGTCGAGTCAGAACTAACTGAAATTTTACCTTAGTTTGGTAGTATCAAACTAGTTTTGTTTGCAGGATTAACTTTTTTAAAGGTTTATTTTATATTTGTTAACGACAGTAATCTTTACAAAATAAATCCAATGTTGGTAAGTCTGTATTTCTACTTTCTCTTTCTACGAAGAATGACAGAAAAATGTTAGTGTTTGAAGACGGTCTCCTTTACAGGTAATTTACTTTAACATAATTCTCAGTAGAGTTGATGGTCGCGAGCCGTGCGCCGGCGCAGCGGCGTGCTGTAACAATCCGTCGGCAAGGTAAACACGTTACACGTAAAAAACTAGATCGGGGTAAAGATTTTACTTAATTTAACGAGTAATAGTTGCAATAAACCTCTTTTATAAATAGAAAAAAAAGTTAATTTCCCGCTTAAATTACTATAGACAAGAAATTCAATACGAGAAAAAACTACAAAATGTTATGCAGATATATACGTCATGTTCTCTTTCTAATAGTATAGTAATATCCTAATTTCTGTTAGTCGCTAGTTGCTTATTATATTCTTTTGTTTTTGGAATGGCAATTGTTTTAGTGCGGCGTTGAAATGCTACACAAGCATACTTTGTGTCTTATTTGCGTCGCGCTCATCTTCGACTTTCGGGTATGGACATGCGCGGAGCTATACACAGCCATATCCGACATGGAACAGCTGCTGGTGACCCAAAAAAAGATCATCGTTGACTTGGACAACCACATTCAAAAAGAGGAGAAAAGACTTGGCGTTTTAAAAAAGTAAATCTATCATTATGTGGAGATTCTTTACTGATGTGTCACAGTTCATGTGATTTTTATTTTATTTTAGACGGTTAAATATGTACAGAAGAGAACATAATATGGCTCTGGTGGACGTCGATAACTATTTGGGCAATCCAATCAACGCATTCACTCTAATGAAGCGACTCACTATAGATTTAGATTTTATCGAAAAGACGATTAAAAGTGGAACAGGTAAAGCGAGAGTTAAATGCGTTTATCATTATAAATGTTCCAATTGCATCCTCGCTTATTTGGACCTACTAGAGTAGGATGTATCACATTATTCATTACATGAACACATTACAGAATTCGTTAGAGATGTGACAGCTAGCAGCCCAGAGGTGTACCCCACCGAGGAGGACCTAAAGGGCGCTGCGCAGGCGTTGACTCGACTACAGAAAACATACAAACTGGATATACGAGAACTCGCACAGGGGAGATTGAATGGAATCGTTTATAGGTAGACAAACTTGCGAATGCTATTGCGTTTTGGTCTGGAACCGTAAGATTTTGATTGTTTGGAAAAGATGTATTTAGACCTTGGATACAGTCATGTTAGGTTACAGGAAAAGTTAGTTACTAGAAGGGTTTTTCATTGTTATCAATAAATATTAAAGGTTTACGTGCATTACGTACGTGCTTTTTTGAGTAAAATAGTGTATTTTTGTTTCCTAGTACACCTCTGAGTGCCAGCGACTGCTATGAGCTGGGCCGCATGCTGTACCTTATTGACAAATACTCCAATTCCCTGCGATGGATGGAAGAAGCGCTCCGCAAATACAAAGTAGAAGACGAAGTACAAAATTTATCAGAAGTCCAGATACTGGAGTACATAAGCTACTTGCATTATCTATTAGGTATTTTCATTTTATTAGCTTTTCAAGGTCACAAACTCCAAATTCTCCAACATTGTCTCCGTTTTACAGATGATGGCCTAACAGCTTTAGAATGGACCAACAAACTTCTAACTATTGAACCGAACAACCAACATGCTCTTAAATACATTCCGTATTATGTGAAGAAAGTAAGAGAAAATAAAAAGATACTTGAAATGGGAAATGCACTGGACGACGAAGATGAAGATGAAATCTATTTAGAAGCAGACACTAAAATGTATGAAACCCTTTGTCGCGGTGAAATGGAACTTCCCTCTCAAATAGTTAGCCAGTGAGTTGTATTATCATACAACAGTTGTATCCAACATGAGTTCTAAAATGTCACATGTTGTTTAGTATTCTTCCAATTTCAGACTCAAATGCAGTTATTTGACGAAAAATCATCCGTTTTTAAAACTAGCTCCTATAAAGACGGAACAAGTGTACATAGCGCCCGACGTGTTCGTGTACTATGGGGTGATGAGCGATGACGAGATTGAGCACATCAAGACCATGGCTAGACCCAGAGTCAGTTCAAACATTCCATTACATAATCTGTTATTAAATAAGTCGCCATCGATCTTTATGTTCTTTCGTTCTCCTGACGTGCAGTTGAAACGTGCGTCTGTCGTCGATTTCATGGGCAAAGGGACAACATCAGACTATCGTATCGCGAAGCTGGCTTGGCTGAAGGACGAAGATTCCCCTGTGGTGACGCGCGTCTCGCAGCGCGTCGAGGATTTCACTGGTCTGAGCATCGCCTCTGCGGAGAAACTGCAAGTCCTTAATTACGGCATTGGTGGGTACTACGTACCACATCATGACAATCAATTGGTATGTTTATTTTGTTTTATTTTATTTATTTACGGATAACTTACAGATAACTTTAAATAATAATAATAAAAGAAACAAAAAAATGAAGGCCAATTACAAGTTATCGCAGATAGTCACAAATATATATTATAATAAAATTCAGTCCTTGTAAATTGTATCACACTTATATGAAGATAAAGATCACCTTCCACTCACTATCGCGTATTGAAAAAACGGTCATTGAGGATTCGTTTAACTTTGGGCGCCGATATGTTAAATATGTCTATACAATCAGAAAGTGCATTATAACATCTACACGCTCGCGCTAAGTAACTATTTTCTCGGTACTTATTCTTTACACGCGGTGTGTGTAGTATGTTGTGCGCACGTGGACGAAGCCCGGGTGTGGGTAATAATAATAACTTTATAATTTCACATGTTAAGCCAATACTTCTATTTGCAGCTTAGGTAGTAAACTATACTAAATTAGTTTTTCTAATTTTATTTCAGAAAAGTAAAATGCGTTTTGAAAATGTATTCGACAAAAGGCTTGCTACGGTTATATTCTATGTAAGTGTCTAAAATTCGTTAGCTTTTCTTGGATAATGCTTTTGAACAAAAAAAAACTTGTATTTGTTGAGATGTCTGACGTAGCACAGGGGGGCGCCACTGTGTTCTTGGAGCTGGGGCTGAGCGTGTTCCCCGTGAAGAATGCGGCTTTATTCTGGATGAACTTGCACCCGTCGGGCGAAAATGACGTCGCCATGCTTCATGGCGGCTGCCCCGTGTTGCGCGGCTCCAAGTGGAGTAAGTGCTAAAAACATACAAATATATACCGAAGAAACAATCACTAACGATTTTTTTTTTCAGTATCCAGTAAATGGATTCATCAAGACGGCCAAGAATTACTTGCGCCGTGTGATCTGAAATACCAACCAGAAGAGGTTTTACGGGAAATTATAAAAGCCAAACCTAGAGTATAAGTGTTGTAGCATATATATATGTTGTATATTCCCTTGTTTTGAAACAAATAGACGTTATAATAAGAAACTATTTATTTCGTATTGTAAAAAGACTGTGTATGAATTGAAGTAGATAATGCTATGCTAAATAGTAGATACGCGAGATGGTAATATGCAAACTTACTAGATGCTTTGCTTGCGCTCAAAAAAATCGGAAAGGAGTCTAGCTAAGTGAATAATAAAGATTGCATTTCCAATATAAAGGCGAAACATCTTATTTCACGCTTACCTACAATCAGCGATACAAATTGCCTCACTGGAAAACTAAAAAAAAAGTATTGTGTGAATGTAATATTGTCGAAAAAGGCAAAGTACGTGTACTACAAACATTGGGCACAAAAGTTAACTGGTGATAAGTTACTCTTATTTAATAAAAAAAAAACTATCTGCAGGACTTATCGGTAGCAATATTTTGCAGCAATGTACAATGTTGTAAATAATTTCACCTTATATTATAAGCAATGGGTGTTGCATACTGTGCATTGAGAAATTGGTTATACTATATTCCACTTTTTTGTATTGTTATTTTAATTAATTAAACTTGTGATATAACAAGGTTTGTATATTTTTAAAAGTGAAATTAAAAATTAGTTTTAAAAGACACAATAGAATATCGATTACATCTCACAATCGAACTTAATGTTACAATTATCTGATTTATTTTACACTAGCTTTAGCCCGCGACTCCGTCCGAATGGAATTAAAAAAAAAAAACAAAAGCATTATCCTATGTGTTCTTCTATCGATGCTAAATTTCATCAAATCCGTTCAGCCGTTTGAGCTACAAACTTTAACATACATCCATCCATCTATCCATCCATCCAAACTTTCGCATTTATAATATTAGTAAGATTTCTATTTAAATTAACATTTTTTTATTATTTAATTTTATTTTAACACTAACTTTTCCAATTCATGATTTTAGATGAGGGTTTTCAGATCCTAGCTGATCAATAAGAGTATTTCTTGCTTTTCTCGATACCGCGACTAAATCCGTAAAATCGTTTTTAATTTAAAATATGTAGTATTCACATACGGAATCAATATTTCTTAATTTCGTTTCAGTGTAAACGTTTTCTCGTTTCGATAATGTTTTTTAAAATATCACTATTTTTAATTTGTTATTGTAAACCAAGTCTTTGGACGGAGGCAGAAGTGTATACGGCGATAACGGACCTGGTGGCCTTGCTACCTACTCTAGAAAGGACTATAGAGGATTTAGAATATTACATCGAAACAGAAGAGAAAAGCCCTGATACTTTAACAACGTACGTTTTTATAATCTATACATACATTTAAAAAAATTAGAGTGTCTGTAATATCAAAAGAAAAATTCCAGATTACGGGAAGATGATGTATTTGCGCTGCTGATAACGAAATCGCATTTTTTTTGTCTGTCTGTCCGTAAGCCGCGTTTGTTCCGAGTAACCTCCGAAACGGCTGGGCCGATTTCAACCGGACTTTTACTGACATAGACGGGCATATAGGCTACTTTTTATCTTAATATTGCGTGAACGAAGTCGCGGTAACAGCTAGCTAACATATTTCACTTGTGTATTTTATTATATCGTAAGTAGAAAGATATTTAGTATCATGTTTTATAGAGTGAAATGACTTTGTAAGCAACTTGAACGATCTTTAACGTAGAGTTCGAGCCTCATTTTACTTGATTGAATCATTATTTCCACTGTGATACGTTAACGTAATCTGATTTTAACACTTTCACTGCCATCGATGGCCATGGCGTACAATTTAATAGGTACATATCGTAGAACCATCGTACGTGTTGATAACTACCGCTCTCGGTATCGCTTAGGTAGCAATTCAATTTACTTTTATTATCTTGTTTTAGGCAATTGAATCTGTACAAAAAAGAAAAAGAATTAGCCTCTAAAGATTATTCGGAGTATTTGGAGAATCCTGTTAACGCGTACATTCTCATAAAGCGGCTTACTTCTGACTTGGAATACATCACACAAAATATACAAAATGTTACAAGTAAGTTAGGATAATTAAAACACAGAATAAGAGTATGTCCTCCAAGATTGAAAAAAGTAAATTATTTGTATTGGAAAATTGATTTGAGATTTAATTATATTATAACGACTAATTATCAAGAGCCTAAAAATAAAATAAACTATTTACCTATTATCATATATACATATACACGGATAAATATAGATATAAAATAAAAGACTCGACTACTCTGTGGTAAAGGTCTGGAAAAGGTCATTCAACGACCTTTTTAATTATTTTTTTTATTTCCAAGATGATAGTACTATTAAACTACGGCATGAAGATCTCATATATCCTACAAAAGAGGATCTGATTGGTTCAGCGATAGCCCTCTCCAGACTACAAAATACTTATGCGCTAAACGTCACCAAACTCGCTAAAGGAAGACTGACTGATGCATCATTTGGGTAACATTAACTTTTTTAAAGTATGAATAGGATATTTATACTGTCATGAAACTAAAATAAAAATTAAATGTTACTGTGTAAAAAGTTTTCTTAAATATTCAGTGTCACTTTAATGTTCCATTTAAAGTGGACTCGAAGGCCGAGTCGGCACAGAATGTGTTAATAACTAGGTACATTGACCATAAATAAATTACAAGAATTTCTGAAAATCAAATGATTTTTAAAATCCGCTCGTTTGCCCCCTTTTTTTTATAAAAATATATATATATATATATATTTATCACTATTTCAGTTATTCCATGACTGTGAACGATTGTTTTAAACTTGGTCAAATACTTTACGTACACAATAAGTTTAGACATGCATTAGAATGGTTCTTAGAAGCGCTTAAGAAATTCAAGAAGGAAAATGAAACGCAAGAAGTTTCGGAGACTGAAATCCTTAACTATTTTTCTTATGCTCTATATTACGTGGGTCTGTATAGTTGTTTAAAATATTCTGAATTAGAAATTATCTAACTGTAGTAAATTACCTTGTCGACTTTATAAATAACTAGTTTTAGCCCGCGACTCCGTCTGCGTGGAATTAAAAAAAGAAAAAGTATAAACTATGTGTAAGTAAAAACTATGTGTTCTTCCAGACTATCATTCATAACCGTGCCAAATTTCATCAAAATCCGTTCAACGGTTTAGGCTACAAACTCTAACAAATATCCATCTATCCATCTAAACTTTTGCATTTATAATATTAGTATGATATACACTAACTTAATGGGACTTTTAGTTAATTAACTTCCTAGAAATCTTCAAAATCAATTTATTGAACAAAAACTTTTCTAACATAAAAACATTAAGATGGAACATTTATTAATGTTCAACACAATATGTGGAAATTAGCATAATCTATATTACAATTAAATCCAACGATAAAACTCTACGATTTATAATTGAAATAAAAGTGCCAACAAACTCTCAGAACAGTAAATCGATAGCCAATATAGGTCGCTGGGCTTTTAACCTAATTGATGGAGAGACGCGCCGATCGGATTTTACTTAACCGAGATTTATCTTAATTGAATTAACAACACAACTACGTATAAAAATGGTACAATTTAATGAAAAAAAATTACAGATGACGCTAAAGCTGTGTTTAAATCAACTAAGCAAATATTGGATATTGATAAAAAATATGCAATTGAAATCGAAGATTATATCAGTACGATAATAAATATTGAGATGTTGGAAGAATCTCCTAGTACGGAAGACTCCAGCGTAAGTAAACAATACGCCAACTTAGACAAAATTAGGTACTAAGCTAAGCTAAAGTTGAGGGATAGCTATTCAAGATACCGTTTTATATAGTTATTTTTTATTGTTGTGTGGCTCTTTAAATAGAGGTCAGGTAGATTTAAACTCTGTCCCATCTATACAATAACTAGCAATATGTAAATATTAAGAATTTATCAAGAAATTACTTTACCTAATTCATAAATATTTAAAATTCAATTCAAGGACGAGCTTGACGAAGACAGTGAAGAATATCAAAGATATTTCAGGAAGGAACAGTTTGTTTACGAAGCGCTTTGTCGCGGAGAAATAGAATTGCCTACTGAGGTTACAAAGAAGTACGTATTCTCTCTTATAAGGTTTGTTATTTTAAACAATGTACAAGATTGTAATTATTACGTTTTTTAGATTAAAGTGCAGTTACCTTACACACACTCATCCATTTCTGAAGTTAGCACCGATCAAGACGGAGCAATTATACATAGAGCCTGATGTTTTCGTCTTTTACAACGTGATCAGCGACGAGGAGATCGAACATTTGAAGATTATATCGAAACAGAAGGTAAGAATATCAAAACATTTCAACAAACAGTCGATAGACCACACTAATAAATCTGTTAAATTTTAATATTATAAAATAGTACCAGGATGAACACTGGGTTTGAAGCTCTCTAGCTGTTAATTGGACTTTTGTGGCAGCTCAAACGATCGGAACTGGCAGGTTATACCGATTTCACGAATGATACGGTGTCGAAGTACCGCATCAGTAAGACGGCGTGGTTGTACGACTCGAGTTCGCCGGTGGTGGCGCGCCTCTCACGTCGCTCGGCGTACCTCACCGGCCTCAGCACGGCCACAGCAGAGCCCCTGCAGATCGTTAACTACGGCCTCGGTGGACATTTCTCACCGCATTTTGATTTTTTCTTGGTATTTATTTTTATTGCTTTCCTCGTAAGAACAGCAAAAGTCATTGAATCATTCTTAGCATTGGAAAGGCCTAACATGTTTAGCAGTGAAATATTTTAAACTTATCGTAATGGCGATGCAGTCATTTCAGTAACCAACAACATAGTATGATTCTAACAGTTTGCATGTAAAGTTTTTATAAATTAGTTTATCTTGTTTATTTCCTTTAATTGGATGTATTAAAATTATATAACAGAAAGACTCTGTGCCAGAATTGCCCAAGATGAAACAGTACGGAAACAGAATAGCAACTATCATATTCTATGTGAGTATGTTTATTACTCGATAAATACTTTTTTGTCGCGTAACTCTTCTTACATGTTTTAAAACACATAAAATACTATAAGAACAATTTACTTTAAAGTTATTTGATAACCTATGAACTTTAACTATTACATATTAACGTCGTGTTATTTTATCTTATCGGCCGTTGTGTGTTAAAAATATTGACAGATTTTTCGAACTTAATGTATCTAGATCGCAATGAAAACAAAAAAAAAAAAATACGGTAATAAAATGCAAGAACGAATAAAAATAAAGTATAATTTTATGCCCACATTTTATACAATAATCAGATGTCCGACGTGTCACAAGGGGGCGCCACAGTGTTCACGGAGTTAGGTTTGAGTGTGTTCCCTGAGAAGAACTCGGCACTGGTCTGGACGAACCTGCACCCGTCGGGTGAGGGCGACATCTCTACACGCCACGCCGCCTGCCCCGTGCTGCGCGGCTCCAAGTGGAGTGAGTATCCAACTGTACAAAAAAAACAATAGATTTCCTCTCAAAAAGTAATGCATAATATCCATAACAGTAACTCTTCGCAATAAAGGCGGTTTCTTCGCAAAATTGCAGTACTTCCCAGGAACACAATAGATGTAATGCTAGCTCCGAGATCGTTCTAGATATGGCAACGAGTTTAATATTAAAATTTGATCTTTTCCATCTAAGAATGAGAATTATATATAAAACTAGCTTTCGTCCGCGGCTCTTTCCGCGTGGAGGTAATCAAAACAAAACTGGGTAGCCTACGTGTATTTTCAGACTATACACTACGTTTATACCAAATTTCATCGACATCGGTTCAGCCGTTTAGGTTATAAACTCTAACAAACATCCATCCATCGATCTAAACTTTCGCATTTATAATATTAGTATCAAGTATCATTACCTTTTAGTTTCGAACAAATGGTTTCATCAAGTAGGGCAAGAGTTCATCCGACCTTGTAACCTGGAACACCAATTAGAAAACGTCAAACGGAATATTTTTATGCCCCAACCAAAGACATCGGATGAGTATCATAGACAATTTATAATTGACTGGTTTACAAAAAACGGTCTTGAAAAATGTATGTATGCATAGACATTTTTATGATCTGTAGAATTCCTTCTATCTTTTCAGCTCGAACTTAATAAATTTTTTATCTGTTTGTTCAGTTGTAACCGTTTTTCGTCTTCAATAAACAATGCACTCCTTTACTGGGTATATCGTTTCTGTAATATATTGTTTCTACATCTGAAAACATTCTGTATAAATATAATTATTTAACACATTATTTTTTTTTAATTTTCTTCATTTACAGTAAATACTTACCTACGTATGTAGATTCTTTCGCCAATTGTTTGGATATATCTTAAATGGAAAGGTGAAATGGCTTCTAGATTAACGATATTTTCTATCTCTTTGACTAGTTTGTCCTTTGTATAGTTTTACATGCGTAATTATAACACAAATATATTTAGACTTTTGTAGAGTAAAAGCTTACATAGGCTTGAAGCTAACAAGCGTATCTTATCTACTTATTACTTTTAATTTTGACAAAAATCTTAACAAAATGTTTCAAAATAACATAAACATTACACAATTTACGTTGCAGTGGTCATCAAATTACGATCACGAAATAAAATTCGGACGTCTTGAGTTATCTTCTTTCTTCACATCTTCAGCAAGGTTAGTGGAGAGCAATTTAAGACAACAAAAACGTTACATATAGAATTAAACTTATACTGTACATAACATTCTTGTTGTTTATACATTACCCTAAATTAACCTCGCCACTGGAGCTTCTTGGACTGAATATCTTCATAATGATGGAGTATAGAATATTTCAGAACAAACAAAGTAAGTACATGCATGGTAGAGCTTAGCATTGCACACTACTGTGTTTGCTATGAAACACTCCGACGGCGAACTTCAGCCTCTCTTCGTACCAACATCGCTGTAATCACCTCCGAATTAATAAATTGAGTTAAGTGTTTTTTTTTCCTTTTTTATTTAAAAATAGTTGCCCGTCACAGTTCCCTACGAGTGGACTTTTTTAATTCATCATTAAAAAAAAATTTAGTTCGCTTAAGGAAGTTTAAATGACATTTTTTTTTTAATTGGTCTCCGGTTTCATAGATGCATCCCTGTTGCTTTCCTTTTCTTTAAGTTTTAAAACTCAGAATTTATAAGCCACATCTGGAATTTGAATATGCATAATAAAATTGTATTTCAGTTAATTTATATTTCTATATTCCATAATCTGTTACTGAATTTTACCATTACATTTTTTTCAAGAATTCGTTCGGTGTGAAATAACAAACATTTCCGTAATGTCTGTAAAAACGGTTTTCCGAGTGGCGACGCATTGTTATGGAATAACGATTCTTTGTTATAAGGTCAATGGAGTGATGCACGTTATTGATACTCGGGTTGCGGAGGTACATACCGAGAAACACTTCAACGTTTAGTGCAATACGCGAATTATACTTTTGTATTGTTTTGAACATCGATATATTTGTCTCTTACTTAATGTACTTCAGTCATATAAGAAAGAGGACAGATTTGTTGTGTCTTTGTTTATAGTAAACAACAAAATCTGTTTATAATTATATCGCTTAACACAAATGAAGAAAAAAAGTAGATTATTTAAGTATGAAAAAAAATCATTTATTATCATTACAGTTTTATCGATAACACAAGCATTCTCTACTAATAAAAAATCGATAACTCGACAAGTCCAGTTCAGATTGTTTCAGTCTAGTAATCGATTCCAGCTATGTATGGAATAATGTAAACCCAATCAGTGCATTCGAGAGTAATAAGAGATTTGTTTGTAAACGAGATAAAACTCCAAAGCAACTAAGCCGATTTTGAAACTTACATAACTTGAAAGTTATAAAGTTATTGTAAAAACAAGTAATCAGAGACTTTATCTGCCACTGCCTGTTGCGAATATGTTCACAAAACGCTGATTTCATTTTTTCAACATCTTTAAATACTTGATATCAGAAATGACAATAACTGTTCTTTACTTCATTTTAACTTAAATAACGTACATATTGATCCTTAATCCTTCTATACATAAGATTCAATTACAGTTCAATTAATTCGCTAGTAGACATCACATTTTTTTTTTAAAAAGACACATAAGACAATACAAATAGTGACTTCAACTATAAAACTAAAAAACCTAGATGTAAGCGGTATGTATACTCCAAGACTAACAAACTTCTGACTGTTGTGAGGTCTGTGTCTGTTTGTCACATTTATACCAAGTCACTTTAATTAATAAACTAATTCTTATGACTTGTTAAACACAAAAATTAAGACCTACAAGGTTAATGAAGGTACTCAAATATCAGCATTATTAACCATTATGTAATCGATGTTGCCATTACACGAATGCCAAAAAATCACTTACCTACATTACGATGCCAAAATTTAATTTATTGTTTTTGTGTTTCTAATTAGTTATTTAAATGCAATTGACAATTAAAATTTTGTAAGCAATTTACAGTAATTTTTAGGGAGCACATTTTAATTGGTTTTTTAATGGGTATTTAGCCACGTTTGTGAAAAGACAGCCACTTATATCACTTTCGCGTGGGCCAAATGCTGGTCGGTGACTGCTGGGAGCGGAGACCACGGCCGCTAACGATGAAACCGGAGCTCTGGACTGTAAACATCCACCGATCGGAATCCTCACCTGCTCGCTGACAAACGACGTATCTGCCAATGTGTTTGTCTCACAAAATTATTGTCAAACTCTATTGAAATTTAAGTTATTTTCTGTCACAATCAATTATATTGGTTACCTAAGCGGCGTCTCAGTGTATTTATCAACTAAATGTACACTAAGGGAAGCCCTAGTGATCACTTAAAGACTCTAAGTGCGGTTGATGCCCCAAAACCAGCCCTGTCCTTGTGACCTAAATTTTAGGACTAAATTGTAAATAGACTTTCAAATAGTGTAATAACGCAAATCAGTATTTCTATGCTTGTCCACTATTTTATTTTATTATAATTTTTACAGATATACATTCATTCTTTTTTAGAAGTTTACTAAGTTAGTATTCTACTAGACTAGACTAGACTAGTCTAAGTTAGTATTGTACATATAAATTAGATTACGTATAATCATATTAGTGCACATGGACATTTTGCTATCAGATTATGATGAAACTTTTAACATTAGTTAGTAGCTATTCGCGGGTCCTTGTAACTTATATAATTTAAATGTAGGTAATCCGAATTATTTTGTTATTGTCTTAAAAAAGTGGGTAGTTTGAGAACTCATACTAGTACTACCTATTACTACAAGACGCGCAGTGGTTGTCAGTTACCGTCACTTACGAAACCGTTTTAAATTAATTTTGTGATAGCTGCTTGGTCGCTTTATCTATATCGCGATTAAAATCATAAAGTCCAAAAGAACTTGTGGTTAAGTAGTTGGTGGCACGTGACATTTGTACAGCACAACTTAATTTGGAGTTCGCACATTATTGTAAGTTCAAGTTTGATTATAGTAATATAAATTGAACCATAATTGTCACCATTTTTCCATTCTTAGAATGTCCCTAGTAAATCAATTTTTAATTTTGCATGCAATCTCAGTGCTATCTCCTATGGAAATGGTCTTTAAATCGTCGATTGCTATTTTAAAAGTTGATTTCCACATTCATGATGAGTAAGGAACCATTTGTAGTAACATTAAATTATAATAGTTCAAGTTAGTTTAAATCAAAATCTTATTCTTGTATACTGTAGAGTGCAATTTTACTTCTTACTAATATTATAAATGCGAAAGTTTAGATGGATGGATGAATGGATGTTCGTAAGAGTTTGTTGCCTAAACGGATATCGATTAAATTTGGAATGGACGTAGAGGATGGTCTGGAAGAACACATAGGCTACTCACTTTTGTTTTTCATAATTCCACGCGGACGGAGTCGCGGGCAAAAGCTAGTCATGTAATAAAATAAACATAATTTCAAGATTTAATATCTACTTAAATGAGCCCGTGATTAGAAGCTGCCTTGAAAAATAAAATGTTAGTTTTTTAAGCGCATTTTTTATGTTTTACTATAACAGTTGCGGTAATTTGTACTTTAATGCAATTTTTTTCGAAATTACTTGCAATTTTTACTATTTTTAGGCTTGTTAGTTACATACAAATGTATTAAATATTGGTAAAAAATTATTTCATATTTAAAAATTTGTCAGATGTTTCCAAATTTTCCTACTATTTACCTGAAAACAACTTAAACATCCTCGATTGCTATGTATTTTTGTGGCAGTGGCACGCGTTGAATTTGTTTTTTCCTTTGCATTTAACAATCCGCGGAATTCATAAACATGACGGTTGGCGCGAAATCGTTAATGATTCTCCAAATGTACTTTATGTCGTGTTGGGATGCGACGCTCGTGTTTACATAACACTTATTCTGAAAAATGCACCGCTCCACTTAACTAAGAAATGGCGCCACCTGCATACGGCTACCATACGCATATAGAACTAATATATGTTTTTTTATAGAAGAGGAACAAGGAAGCAACTTAATAATTTTTTGTTAAGTTTTGCCTCTACCCGCTGTGCTATTCTATAAGGTCCGCATACATCTTTGGTCGTAAAAGTTTTTAAACCAATACATTTTTAAGTCTTCGTTTTTTATTCACAGTAAAAGTAAACTACTTTTAATGTAATAATCGCTCTTTACAACATTATTTACCCAAAATTAATGTGAATTATTTGCAATTATGGCACTAATGTAAGGTTTTGTAAAAATCGGAAAAATCTGTTTTTTTTTTATAAAAAATTAAATAACTTTAAAACTATAGAAAATCGGACAACATACTTTGCGTTTAAATAATATCTATTAAGGTCCTCTACCTCCACAAAAGCGTTGATCCGTCCGTTAAAAATCATCCTGTATATCGTTTGATCTATAATACGTTAAAAGCTCGCTCGTATCCAGTATATTAAGTTATAGTTCAAAGAAAATGTATGAATGGAATAATAATTTTATGTTAACATCGACTAAGCACTTAAAAAGCTTATGAAAATAAAATGAGGACTTAAAAATATGGGTGAAAAGAGAAATGTTTTTATTATTTACAACTGTATTCCTTAAATAAGTTTCTAGATAAAATATGTTATTTATTACATTAAGAATAAGAAGTTATTTCAAATGAGTTATATGAAAAGGACAACCTATATCAGACAGGTTTTTCAACAATTATTCACATGTTTCGAACTCTTAACTCTTTGATAACATTATGCATATAAAATATAAGGGCATCAATATAGGTAGGAGTAATTTGTATTTGCGCAGGATATTTTATTAGTTCCTCAGAATTCCGCGACTCTATAATGGCGCTGCTGAGTAACAATCAATACTCGTCCAAGCTAGCTCTAGGCACTAACCTACTTTGTACATCAAAGTATGTCATATACCTTATGCCCTCAATATAAAAAACGGATTAGATTTTTTTGCATTTATATTCATTGAATCCAACTACTACTGCTAGTGGCTAATTTATGCCTTATCTTTACTTTTTTAATATCTGAAAGTCCTTTTCAGTATTTGTTCCTACAAGACGCACTGTATTAAGTTATTTTAATAACGCGTAGCCTTATTTAGTACATACTTAGATTATTTTCACAGCCATATTGTTTTGTATTACACTATATTTTCTATCTCAGAAGCCTCTATAAAATCCTAATGACATAATCTCACTGCAACCCAACTGTTGACAGTATTTTTTATAATAAATAATTTCTTTTAAAATAACTTTTCATTCAAAAAAATTTTTTTTTAAATGTAAGCTGTATTTTATACAATTTGCTGGTAATCTAAAGGAAATCTGCATCTCTAAATGTCAAGACCTTAGTTCAAAGGATCATTTCTATAGTCATTTTCTGATGGGACCAATAATTAACAAACTATAATTATTTGCTTTGGTTATAAATACATTTACAAATATTAAAGTTTTGTTAGGTTAGTATGAAATGAAAACACTGATTTTAGAGTAGAATTTTATTGTTTACTACAACATCAAAACTAAATTTTATATTACTAATTGTGATTTAAGACAAAACATCCATTATATAGCTATTACATCAATATAACATTCAGATTTCATTTAAAATATTTGATTCATAAATACTGATAAAAACATTCAACACATAATAATGTGATTAATTCTACTTATATAACTAGATTTGGGTAACAGGAATAAATTGTAGAGATAGATTTATAAATTATATAAATTAAGTAATAGGCAATGTAGAGATGTCAGGTTCCTTTGTTCAAATAAAAAATAAATTAATCTGTCCATCCTTCTATACCCTGTACGTATCTCACAACAATTCAATTTCACTCGTTCCCATAATCTGTTGGAATATGCAATACAAACCGTAGACAAATAGTAATAAAGGGGATCAAAAATATAAATCTTCAAAACTTCGAGATTCTTATAGATAACATATTGTTCTAACGAAGAAATGTTTAATATCAGACTCATAAGTTGGACTTTAGGAATGTGCAGAGCTTAAAGCTAAGGACAATATAGATCAACGCTAATGGTTTCACAATAAACATGGGTTCTCTAACATAGTTACTTCTAAAACATACTAACATTCATTAGATCAAAAGACATTTAACATCAATAGTTGCGAGTCACATTCAAGAAGATTACCTATTTTGACGAGCTGACTTGATGAATATAAAGCTATTCTATAGCTTCAGTTAACATACCATATTTAATTTTATAAATTAAAACACAACATCAATATTGGCAAGAGGTGATTATTTAAAATTATGCATAAACGCCCAATCCTAAATCTGCCATTGGGGCACAAAATAACAAATTAAAACTTAGAATAAAATTATAATTATGTCAGATCAATAAAAATATCACAACAAAAAGAAATAAGTAGCATTGTTATGCTAAATTAAATTTCATAATTACGGAACTTGGAGATCACTTCGGATGGTGGCTCCTGATTGCCAGGACCCCAGCGTCCCCAGAGAGCAGCTCCGCCCTCGGAAGCCCTGCGAGCAGCAGCGACGCTCGGGCCCAGGCTGGATGGGCCAGACGAGTGGCCAGACTCACCCTCCAGCATACGGTCCTTGGTGTTGGGCTTGGACCAGTGCATTGACTGCTGCACATGATCTTTCATGCTCAGCCACTGCTTGTACCCCATAGCGACACCACTCTGCCTCCACTTGTCATACAGAGCCCGCTTGGATGGCTCGCATAGTGTCTCCTTTGCCTCCTATAAATATTAACATTGTGTCATCATAAAGGCAGATAACAACCAATTACTATTAAATCAGAAGTAAGTTTTTAAACCTTTAGTTGTTGAAATTTAGCTTCAGCATCTTTATCACCATCATTCTTATCAGGGTGGTGTTGCAGAGCCAACACCTTATACTCTGCAGTTATCTGCTCAACCTGTAATTATTAAAACAAAAAAAAAACAACTCATAAACTTGATAATATAAAATATGGAAATCCCAGTTAAAACTATAATGATTCATTTTATGGTGCTGGGTTTTTCCTTCTAGTCTAGGTAATTGCGCATTTTAAAATGTTAAGTAGCTGTCTTTGTATTTAAAACACCTCTACCAAGTATAAGTATCGCTAGAAGGATGTAGGTCACGTATAGCCTTCGCTTAAAATAAGGTCATTGAATAGAACATCGAATCAATACTTTTACAAAGGTCTAATTGCTATTGTACCTGTATTATAAATTGCCATTATAAACAACGCACAGCATTTCACTTACCGTAGAGTGCTCGTCGCAGCCCAGCAAAGCGTAATAATCTTCGTCAGGGTTTCTTTGATAATTCAATATCTCATCCACTCCGGTCATTTTCACGACCCAACCCACCTGCACAACACCCAACAAAATACTGGCTGGCCGACTCTTGGCTCTTTGCTCTACTTTAACTTTGATTACGCTTGCGCACAAGTTAACGAGTATGTTGTCCACCTTAAAACCAATAAAATCACAGAACACTGAATTCTCTGCGTACGCTAAATCTAAAACATACTAAATTAATGAAATAACTTTAAGTTAATTATTTACGTTTTAGATTGATTGAGTCTGGTATTGGCCGATTTTTTTTTGCAAATGGGTTGACTTAAAACTGAAACTGAAATAAGTTATTACTAAACAACTACTGTTAATAATCACATTGATACTTTAATTACTTGCTGATAATTATTATATAGTAATTATCATTATCAATTTGATTTAAAAAGAAAATAAAGATATTTATTGGCATTAATACAAAAAACCAAGAGTTTAATTTTAATTTCTTGAGTGGCAACACTGAAATATTCCAATATACGAATTTTTTTCATGTGCAAATCGAAGGCTTAAACGTGCTATAATGGATTTACCAGCTTTAAAAACATAGTACGCTTATTAAATCACCATACTAATGTCTTTTTATATTGGATATATTTTAATTTACCGTGTAATAACATGAATCAACAGATTTGATATTTAAAAGTATTGACTAGCTTATTTTTGTTGTTGTTCGGAACTGCTTCTAGCAAATGTCAAGCTGTCATCGTGAACTGAGAACGGATCCGAGGTTGTCATAAATGACAACTGAGCCGACAGCACAGCCCAATGGAATGGATTGACTGGCTAAATACACTTGCTTGCGTGTAAAATAGCTAAACACATATTTCTTTGTTATGCAGGATATAAGCGGTCACAGCATATTGTTGAATATATTATTTTCTTTAAAAACGTCCGACATTTACGACATGCTATAGGCTATATGTTTTCACGTTATTTATTTTGGGGGTGAATAAATTGAAAAAAAAATGTCAAGCAAGTAAGAGACAAAAACTACAAGCCAATAGCAGCAAACATGCCATAGTAATTGTAAGCCAACGGCCAATGTCTTTCGTTGTCACTTGGGCAATTTTGACATTTACTGCTCAAGGTTTTACGCAACGTAAACAATAAAATAAATCTCTTATAATTTCATGCGGGTGAATCCGGTGGGGTTTGCACGAGAACAGGTAGTATATTTCACATAGTGAAGTATTAAATGTATTATCCCGTATGTACCCATATTGTATACAAGTTCTAATAGAGACTAAAATAATGTTAAAAGTTAAAATCTAAGTTTTGCGATATATTTTTCAAAAACTGCTAAACGCTAATAGAATAATCCATTCATTGATGTTACCTGTTGTTCGCTAATAATATTTAATAATAAAAAAATATAGCCTATAATGGTAAAAGAATTTTTGAAATCGGCCTAGTAGTTTTTTGAGTTATTTCAATGCCTACAAAAATACAAATCTTTCCTATTTCTATTATATTCTTAGTAGAGATTTGTATATATTGGAGACGAATTATTTCACCAACTCTTTCACGAACTTTTGTCGAACAAGACTCCTTTAAACTGTTATCTCCACTAAGCAACTAAATCGCACAATAACAGATTCACGTGTTTTTTTAGTGTTGCGATTTCTAAATACTTATCCCAGCAGCAAATTGTTGACCGCTGTCCATTAATTAAGGTTTTTGACTGCGTCGCTAAAAAACAGGAACTTGCTCAAGCATCAATTACGCACAATTACAAAGCGGAAGTGAAGAAACAGGCGAAGGGAATTCATTTAGTTCATTTACTTGTTTTGTACTATACTGGATCCTGCGTAAATACTAAATATGACTATAAATCATTTTTTAAAGTTTACACCCTCCAGCTTCACCTTGGCGTTTTCAAACCCTTGATATCGATATTATATCAACGTCTTCTCAATGATCTTAGGATTGCTGTGCCCAACCTAATATTATACTACCCTCAAATATTCCTTTAAAACTTTTTTTAAATTTATCTACCTACCTGCTTTACATACAATTTAGTATTTGAACCATATAAATTGTTTGTGTATGTAAAGTAGTGTTTGATTCTGATAATGTAATAAATCGTACGTTGTAAAAGTTAATGTTATTGTTTACGAAATAAGTTAATTTATGTTTATGAAAAGTTTTAGTGGGAGTACCTATTTTTGCAAAAAAGTATCCGTAATTTATTACCTTTATTAAGACATAAATGTTTGCTATTAGCTAAAAAGATATTTACGATGGTAATAAATCTGATAAAGACGACGGCCGCTAGAATTACAACAGTGTATAAACATCAAGGCTGACGACATTGCATATTCCGTGCATGCTCTAGACATTGGCGTCTCAACTTCCAACGCGCTTTTGCATCAAAAATAGCTCCCGAAGACCGAAGACGCGTCGGCGTACGTAAGCCCGCGCCGTTCACTGGCGCAACGCGCGTCTCGCGGCAACGAATTAAAAAATAAATAAATAAATAAACCTAGTGCAATTAACTGTGTCGGGTAGGTATAGTGCCTATTGTTATGGTGCGTCGTAGAACACATCGCTGGCCGCTGTCAACGAACTAGTACGAAGATCTTCCATCTTTGGCAGCGGAAGCATCGGCGGATGTCCCGGCGCGGACGATGGGTGAGTGCCGGCATATGAATGCTTAACAACAATGCTCCCGCGCTTCGTTCCCACATTTTCTATTCGCGCCGTGTCTCCGCCCAAAGTTTGTTCAACCTATCATTTTTTTGTCGAGATGGATTTAATATGAACGTATACGCGGAATGAATTTCATATTGCCTTATGTATTTTTATCCCGCGCCCGCCTTGCGCTTTACTCTCCAAAGATAATTTATATAAAATTGCAAACTTCTATTACACATCAATAAATCTTTTTAAAACGGTGATGAATAAGACAGTTTTTTTTTAAATCACAATTAATTGTCATTATTGTTTTCATAAGGCTTTCAACAATATTTTTAAGCAAAAGGAAAGGAACGAAAGTACCTATGTACATAATATAAAAATTCACGGTAGAGTAAATATTAATGAATGAAATTAAAACGATAGCCAAATTAATGAAAACAGATGAATGTTTATAATTTTAATTTTAAATAAAGAACTCTTTAGACTGTAAAATGATTTCTCATGAATGTAACGACGAAAAATATGAATATTAAATTACGATTCAATTCTTCGTCAATTAATTGGTCATAACCCTGCGACCGCACAACATGCTGGACATATACAATACAACATTTGAACGTCTAACATACGGAGTATGTATTAACATTTATAATATTTCACACAGAATATGCACGAACATAGCAGAGATAGTAAGTGTGTCTAAAATGTAAAAATTCGTAAAATGAAAATATTCGTTTTCTTGTAATATCCGCGAAAAAATACTCTTAAAAATAAAAACAAGATTATTTTTATTGATAGAAAATTTTGAAGAGGTCAATGCAACAGATAGTTAAATTGTAATTTCATCGCTTTAAAATTAACAAATCACATCACGTCTTTGTTCCAAATTGGGGTGGACAAGGAAAGCAGTTGCTGTGCGCGTTTAGTTGTGTTTATAAAGGTACAGACCAAATTGGGTACGTATAAACTAGTTCGGCGCTATTTTTATATCAGATGTAAACAACGGGGCTTCGACTCAGAGCTATATAACTATGTGTTAGGTGTTTGCTAATCAGCACCCTTAGGCATATTTAATAGTTTGCTAAATACGCAATACAACACATAAGTTTTTCATAATGAAATACGACGAATGTAGAGGTTCTGTTAATGGACACTGAGAAAAGGTTGATGCTAAAACATTAATTATCCATGAAATTGTATAACATGTTATTACCACCTACTACTTGCTAGACCATGGGGACTTGTTTACAAATATGAACTCGCATTTTAGCTCTATTTCAATGCATATTATCACGTTATTTTTACACAGTTATCTCGAGGAAGTAATAATAATTAAAATATTATTGTTTTTCATTAACCTACTGAGTTATGTAGGGACTGGACTGACATTGACAATACGATGTACTGTTAAGCGCGCGCCAAACGCTGACCACGGCCGTGTCCCGTTTAGACAATGCATCAATTACATCTTTATTATTCTTTGTGTATAGCTTCGTTAACGTTATTATGGAGCTTGATTATCAAAATAAGCAATCAAACATTGCAACAAAACAAAACGCGTTGCAACTCTGACAGATTTTGGTCAAAGATCAATAGTCTTTGATGTATTTTTGTCATAGATGTATGATCGCAACGAATAATCAATATTTGAAAAGTTTTGACACTCACGTATTCTAAAACGAAACGATTTGTTTTGTATATCTAAACCACGTGTATTGTGTGAACGTATGTTACTACATTAGCTTTGGTAATAAGGTTAACTGTCTTGGCATTCAACTTCTAAACATTTTATTACGTGCAGTGAGTAGGTGTAGGTAAAACTGTGTTTTACGCATATCTTGCGAACTCTAGTAAACATTTTTTACAACCTTCATAAAATATTTTAGATGACGCTTTCATGTCATCTGTCGATTTCTGTGGATATCGTTTAGCATCTTTTCTAGGATTTCGATTAACAGCGGTAGTTTTTAATTCTGGCAGGTTAGTAGGAAGGGCCTCTACATGGAATATATCATCGTTAAAAATAAATGCTTTATTGAAATAACTAGTAGCATTTTATTTAACTCCAACAACAAACACATTAAAGTAAATAACGTGTTTCATTAAGTGCATTCAGCGATCAGCGCTAAAACATTCTTAGATTAAATTTTCCCCTCCCCTCACTTACAGTGTCGAAACATTCTGAACAAATGCATATAATTATCTCTGTTACCTAAACCAGGATGAGAGAGACGGCAATACGTTTCCATATAAATGTTTTGGTAATTGAAACTCACGTCGAGAAACTCCTCGTTCTTTTGATGCAACTTTATAGAGCTTTACACTGTTAACGTCAGAAATAAATTTTTATGTCTCACTTTTAAGATTTAGATAATTAATATCCACACAGGCCTTTCCTTCATAGACATATTAACTGAAATATCATGACGTAAAGCATTCGTGGTCTGGGTTTCTTCAAACAAGTGGAGTTGGTCGATGAACTTTTGACATAGTGAAATTTTCCAAGGATTTCGGTTTCGAAATTAAGCTTCAACGTAAATGTTTATTAAAGTTAAATTTGGGCTTACCTATATATTTTGCAATTAAATTGTTCAAACAAAATGATTACAATATTACAAAGCTTTTATTAACAAAAATTGTGCAGCTTTTTATATTTCGTAAGCTTTGTTCTGGTTAGGTTCCTAAATGTTTCTAAAACTCCACAGATTTTATGGTAAAATATTGTATGTTACGGAGTATATTTCTGTAAA